CAGTAGCGATCACGCGGGCGAGACTGATCACCCTACGACAGAGCCACACGTTGCCGACTCGATTTGCACGAAATGCGAAAAACCTACGAAGGACGCGGCTACATTTCTCCCTGAAATATAACCGTTTTCTCCTCTTTCTATACTATGTATATTGAAGCCTACTAAAGGATTACAAAGTTTAGGCTGGGATCATTTCTCTCTGAAATTCACCATGAAATGCTATTTCTTAATTATGCCCGATTGCTTGCACATAGATATTCTGAACGATTTTTCTTCTGCGTAAATAGGCTTGACGTATGTGACGGTGACTCTACTGTTCTAAGCGTATTATTGACGTGACATAATGTTATTTTATCTCAGTGCTGTTGTTTTTTCCAGTTATGATTGATGGCATCGCAGACGATTATGTACGTGATGCTATTACATGACCTTCAATATGGGTAACCATTACGAAACGACCGACGATCGAGTCACTTGCCCCTATCATTGTCTAGCGTCTGTTTCGTCTCCTGAACTGAGTAACTAATCACTCTAATTAACAGACGAGTTAATGTAAATGTTTGTCACGGCTAGCATTTCTCTTATTTGTCAGTTTTCCTTAATGGTGAACAGCTGTCCGCAAGCTCTAAATTGCATATCATTATTTGGATACACAAACGTAGTGTACTGTGTTACTTTCTTCGAAAGATATGTTTGTTTCCATAGATAATATTCTCAGATTAGGTAAGTCATTTCTATTGAGACGACATTAAAGATCCAAACAGTATGGGATCATTCACAGAAAAAAATTATGCAAGCGGCGATTCCGCATCATGCCCCGAGGGCAACAGTTACGGGACACAAGCGTTAACCAACTGCGGTAAGGAAAGCTTAGTTTGACTCTATTTTTTACTGTAGTATGCTGTATGTGTGTTTTGCGCACATGAATTGCTTTCTTTAATAATTGCTCGTCCATCAAATGAAGAAAGAAAAGGAAAACGTCCAATAGATAAGTACAAGAAAATCGGATCTTGTTTAGTAATTTCCCGATGCGCTAATGAAATATATCCTTGCATCTGCATATTATTTGAAGCGATCTTTTCCACGTTATACATGTCATCCTGTTCTATATAATATTCAAGTTTACTGGTGTTGTACATAGCATGTCCACGAATTTTCTTAAAATCGTATATACAAATCTAAGCAATCGAACCTATAATAGTTACAGTATATACTATATTTTGAGATATTTTCGTTTTTAAATCGTAACCGTATAGAGGCCAGGTTTGCCGTTTGACTTTCGTGAGATTATTTGTCGCTTTTCATTCGTCTATCTACTTTGCCATTTCCCAATAGAGCTTGGCCTGACAGAGATATTTCTTACCTCTAATGTCACTTGTTTTATTGATCTAAAAATGTATATTTCGGTAACTAAAGGCTCATGTCCAGTATACCAGAAGCTGCACGGTCTGGCTTCTGCGTTATATTATGGTAAAACAGTTTTCGGCCACGCAAGCAGAAGGCAATAGGCTTTATACAGTCAATATCCTTTTAGCTTCCTATATAACAGTTGATTTACTTCCTAACAATATTTCGTTTGTAGTTGTATTTTTTGATAATCTGTCAGAATACTGCAGTTGTTGATCTCGGTCCCGAAGGTACATTTAATCCGCTTATTTTTTAGAGAAAGATTAAACCAAGATCGTTCTCTTAAATCCCGTCAGAGTCAAAAACTGCCGTTGCGCGTGTATTTCTCGTGGACTTACTATAAAGGTCGCTAAAAGAATAAACTTATTATAGTATTCTTCTTTCTATTCTAGCGCTTGTTAGAGGCCATCATATATCTGAGTACAAGAAAACCAAGACGTTGATTTTTCGTTCTTAAAACAGCTAATAAACGGTTCGCACTTTCACCGACAATAAATCAGAGTCAGCTTCAAGTGTGACTGTCATAAGAAGTTCTTGCTGTCCCTGCTTGGCCCATTTTGATGTGTACCAAGACGTCTAAGGAAAGAAGATGTGCGACCGAATGGTTTCGTTAGCAGTTGTTTTTTCGTTGGAAAATGTGTAGATTTATAGGCGTGTATAAGAACAAAAAATACTACATGGGTGCGAAACTTTACGATGATATTAACGATGTGTTCATGAAACAAAATATAGAGTAAACTGACTAGCGCTGATGCTCTAAACAATGCAGGCTTCGTCAGTCACGGTTACCCACGCCATTAACTTCGTAAGCATTTCCTCCAAATCATACTTTTTCCCGGCTCATCCAGTGTTTATCGACTGCGAATCCGCGCATGCGTATAAACACATCCCAATACTATACTACCGCTCGATCAACTCGATATAGTGGACTCAAAGATGCTGATAGTCTATAAGCTCACTGGCCATTAAGAATGACCTTGTGCTGCCATTTTTCCTCAACAGCATTATCCAGTCTGCAACTTAATCACTCGTACCGCGAACTAAATATATGTAGGTAATGAATAGAGCTAGCGAAACGATTCATGTTCCCAGCTTGCGGGTCAAATTCAGGTTGAATTTATAGAGATAGTAGATTCTGTATTTTAGATTTATAGAGATAATGAAAAGCTGAAACAGACAACAAGACGCACTGCTTAAAGGAAGAAACACAAAAAGAAATGAAAACTATAGAAGTGATATCATAATATTTATTTAGAACTCTCAAAAGGAACTATATAATGACTTAGTATAACAATGATCTATTACTATTAGCGTTAGTATTTTTAATAATTAAAGACACAAAGAACGAAATGTCTCCGAGATGGTGTTTAGCAGCGACGTTGTAAGACGACATGAGGTCTGAATTTAAAATTGAAGCGCAGACAAACTTCATCTGGTGCTGGTGCCTACCATTTTAACCACGACGTAAATACCGGACGCGACGCTAAAAACATTTATCCTAAAACCACTCACTTGTCAACTTGTAACAAACATACGTTAAGGTCAACAGCTTAAGAAATATGCGAAGCTGGCGATATTTCTAAGTGTCCTGGAGATGCCCAGCAGAACTACTTCGATACCATTCCTTGAAGTCTGGAGTATCTATATGACTCGTAACGTTTCATATTTTCATCAGAAACCGAATCACATATTGGTGCAATCACAATTCAGTATTTTATGACTGTCGTCCCGTTTGTGGTTTTGAGATCAAACGAATTTCGTGCTTAGGTTTTCACCTGCCAAAAAGTAAAGACTAACGTTCACTTACTACAAAAGTACAAACTTATAAAATACGCGCAATAGAAGGATAATTCTGCTATACAGCGTTTCATTTCGGTTGGTATCAGAGCAGAACCAGGCACTCGTAACGTCGACAAACCAGGTTTGACATCTCTATAGGGACATTAACTTTCCAAAATATCTTCTCATGCGAGCCCAGTGTTTATCCAAGGAATTTGAATCCCTTACTTTGAAGCGTCTGTTTTGGCACGCGATCAGCTAAAAACTAGATTAGGACGAAAATGTAGATAGTTTGATTTTACACCATCATCACACTCTACGAAACGGGAGCGTATGGCAATATTTGCAACTAGTGTAACCATTAAAGCTGCTTACTAGCGGCGGAAGCTGATGCCAAGACCTGAATGTCAAAAAATAGATCTACTTGCTCAAAGTTCAAAGTACGGCCCTCTCCTGTATTTGCGACCCAGAAACTGTAGGCCCCTGCCTCAGACGCCATTCACTCTGTCGTAAAGTGCAAGCTACATTTTTTACGTATGAACGTATTTCAACCCGAAAGGTTACAATCAAATATAATCACGCTTACAATACAAATAAATGCCCTGTTACACAGTGCCCTGTAAAACAGTGGCAAGCGACCGACAACGGGAACTCCTCTTAACTACATGGGCGAATCGTTTGTTCGTAGGTTACTAAAGGCGTAATTGCTACGAATATCTAGATAATTGACATGTGCTATTTATACTCAAGGAACGTGTGAGTTCGACATTGATCTAAATTCGAAATTATCGGGAACGCCATGTGCTTAGCTACATATCGTACGTACGAGTAGAACAAGCAGTAGTAACTATTTGTTTCGTTCTTTTTAATGATTTTTGTCATATTTTGTGTTTCACTATTAAGTTTGCAACTTTAATTAAAACACTTCAGCCAAATTTCGCAACATAATGCTAACATGATTTACGCTGATTTAATCATATGTGACCATTTAGGTGGACTATTTCTCTCAAGCGTTTCAAGTTTCAGTTGCACTAATGACCAGCTGTCAACGGTTTTCGAAATTTGGGCGGTTGACTGGACTCCATTACAGAACCAAAGTATAAGCGTCTAGGCAGAAGTCTGCATACTTAAGCCATGAGTCAACGATGAATGACAGGTTCCAAATGTAGAATTTTGCCTTGCCAGTCCATGGTTTGTACTCGATTAGTTTAACGGTTCGATACTGAACTATATTAATAGTAGCTATCGACTTTATCCCGCTTAACTTCACCCTGAATTAAAAGTAATTATAATTAGCTATTTTCAACATAAGTTAAGGGTTGTAACTACTTATTGTCAAGAGTATGTTCCTAAGTAAACAAGTAATCAATCATTACTAATATTATACTTTCGGATATGATTGTAGATTTCATCTATAGGCAGTCTATACCTGATAAGCTTCTTTCTTTCCCTTTTCAGTTGGCAGCCAACTACAACAGACAAGAACCGAATCGAAATGTTTTAACCAAATAAATGCGAGCTGTCTGCTTCACCGCTATCGTTCCGCGTTCTGCACTCGTTTCTAAAGCAAAAACTTGAAATATTCTCACGAACGTGCGCTAGATTTGCTCGCTCTTTAGACCTTTTGATCGAACTATTTAATACAATATATTTTATCGGTAGCTTGTGTTTGTGCCATATCTTTGCCTACCGCCTATTTACATCGAAACTGTACACAGGTATGCGCTTGTTTCTATGTGTAGGCGCCGCGCGGATTCAGCGGAAACGTGATAGAACATTTTCTTAAACTCAGACTCAGTCAGTTTGAGACTCACCCATAGTTGATAGACAGCTTTGAGATCTGGTCCATGGGCTGCCACACAAAACAGATGTGCACCAAATACACTGCAATAATATGTTATTACCTGGGCCTGCCTCAGCGCCAGCACCACTCCGCTGGGCGGCAGTGGGCACCGAGCACTGGCCCAGACCATATGGGCATAGCTCAGTCAAGACGCTATGGCTGCCTCTCGCGAGACCCATCCGAGCCCGGAACCGAGAAGAGAAAGGGAGTAAGCCAGTCCGGTACAACGGAGAGTTGCATCCCCCCGTCTTGCCGAAACTACAACCAGACTCTGGCAATGCTCTGTGATTTCCCTCATTCAGCCGCGGCGGCGAGGCTGCCTAGACGACTTGATGGTGCATCTGCGGACCCACCCTATATATGGAGAAAAATAAAAAGAATAGCGCAAAAACTAGAGACCTTAACTGTTTATGCACTACATGAGATTTGTCTATCTAGATGTGTTCAGTAATAGTACCAACTGGATATATATCAACATCCTTATTGGCATATTTTGTGCTTATTGGCCCATTGTACTCAATGTTGTACAAGTGACTGCTGTGAACTTCTATGTATGGGGTGAAATAGTTTATTGCCTTTGAAATCTCTTATCATGAGCTTTTCAGTCATTATCGGACTCAGTGCAATAATTCTTATCTTGTATAGGCTTCTTTGAGTCATGCTTCAAGTTTATCCACTTCGTAACATATACGTTAGAGCGATTTGTCCCTGTTCGGACTTTGCCGCCACGCGCTAAACGCTGATAGTGTGCGCGATCTTCGTTACAGTCGGTATTTAGCCCTGCTAGAGAAATGTAAACAAAGCGTTCCGAAAATCACCAGCGGCCGCCGGAAATTCAATCGTTTACAGGATTTGCCGTTGTGTAGCCAAAAGAAAAGTTAAAACTTTAGATATTATTAACCAAGTCACAGCAACTAGATAACTGTGTATATAAAATGAGACATAAGTTATTTGTTGGTCGCACTGTGCTTGTCCAAAACGGACAGGTCGACAAAGCGTTCCGGCTTCTTAACAGAATTCTCGGTGAGGCAACGACTTTTCGAATCAAAATAGTAGTCCAGCTGTGGTTTTCTATTACTAAATTACTAGAGATATTGCACACAACCTATAGGCAAGTATCTGGACACGTTTAGCCTCAATCCGATATTGTGCATGTTTCAACGGGTGCTTTGTACTACATCAACAGAAGTCAATATGGTGTGTTTGTATTTGGGGTCAACACAAACAAAATAATTAAAACCTTACATGTGTCTGCCACAGTCAGCCCTTCACAGACATCGTCGCTGTGTAATGTATTATGATATATAGAAGTAATAGTAAAAACATATTACGCCACTATACGTCATCTATATCATGCGCCGTCTTGGCGGGGCTACGCTAGTGTGAAGTTGTTCGTGGCTTTTTTGTTCAATAAGGCGCAACGCACCCAGCTAACGGCGTTGGGCTGTCAGCGCGCATCAGAATAACTATTCAGATTCTACCAAAAGCAGCTGTAATAATAGGGGTTGTATAAAAAAGTAATTGTTATCATACCCCCACCTTTGAAATTTTTTAACTTTATAATATTTTTAATATTTTAATTTTATTCTGGTCGTCAGTATGTTCTGCGACAGTTAATCTAGCTTAAGCGACTTAATCGTACAGTCTTTCTAGAAATTCAAATGCTATCATCATAATTCATAAATTAAAGGTTAAACTGAACGATTAAATCACTATATGATTTCACTTTATGAATCACGGCGAAAATGTGTAGTTCTGACTGAATCTGGCTAACAAATATCATCGGTTGTAACATAATTTAATTGTTTTATTTAATCTGCAACGATTTTCGAATCTACCAATTTTCTGTTTAATTACAAAGTTTCCCTGTAGATTCAAATTTGCACAGGAGGCATCCGTTAGAACTGCGAAATCCTTGCGCAGATCCTAATCTTTAATACTACTTGTGCCCTATGTGGAGATCCACATTGACAGTCAATTATCATTTACTCAAAGTCTGTGTTAGATAAAAACAATACAGGATAATGCATACAATACAGGATACATATCGTTGAGGATGTGGTATTTGTAAGTTCTCGCACTAACTCATCATTTTTTTTTTACTATTTTTTATATGCATTAGGTAAAGAATTTAAAATAAAAAACAAAACACTCTTGTACCACCCTTTGATTACATTTCAAATAACAGTTTCGTTAAGATGACCGGTATTATAATGTGACCCTACGCTTTTGTATTCTGGCGCACGACTTTACAGGAATGGAAGGTATTTTTGATCAATATAGACGTAATCGTTTCTATGAGAAGCCCACCCAAAAGCGACGGCGCATCAACTACGAAATTTGCAAGGCTATCTACGAAGAGGATATGTCCCGCAGAATTCAATTCACCCTACGAAAAAATAGACATGAGCCTTGGTTAGGAAACCACTGACCGTTTCTTGTCATAGGGGGAGTCAACCATAGATATGTTTAAATTCAGAGATGTTAGATACCGTATAATATTATTATTAAATAAAGTAGAAATGAACTAAATGTCAAATAAAGTACGCTGGCCGGATAGTATGAAGTAGAGCCGGTCAGTTTTTAAAGTTACATTTGATACAATGGTGTCTTCTCTGGTACGTTTTTTTCGTCTTTTGCAAATTTTAGCTTGGTAAACTTTTATTGCATGTTACTAACGACGATTCGAACAATTAGTTATAGCGGCATAACGGCAGCAGCTGCCAGAGCTAATTTAAAAGCAAAGTAAGAGACAGCAATTTAATCATTTTCTACGCCAATGAATAGTGCTCCGGAATCATACAACTTTATTCATTTGTTACGAACGTTATTTCCCGTTATCCTCGTTCTAATAATATTCGGAACTTTTTTTGTGACACTTTCTCATGATGTCATGACTGCGCACTTACCGGTTGGTCGGTCGGGCAGGCATTCCCCTGACACTTCTAATTATACACCATACTCGTGAGTCTATGAATATAAAGTTAATTGTTAACAGTAGTTAGCTCCAATTAACGTATAAAATGGCACAGTTTAGCCATACATAAACTATACTGATGTAGGCTGTCTGATCCCATCGTTTCAAGAATACTTGATATCAAGGTCACCATACAGCTAGGCCTACAGCTAGCCATACCTTCAAACTGGATATAGACCGTCATGTGCGCTGAATAATGGTCCTAATATTTCCGCCCTATACGTTGCCGACTAAGTAAACATATAAAGAACAGCTTAGATTCAACAAATTACTATAGCTAGAGCGGTATTATTGACAATTCCTGTTAAAAGTAAGATAATTTATTTTCCATATTGAAATTCGCTCACAAAAACACAATCTTTCAGTAACAGAAATCAGGATTTAATTTTCGTCAAGACATATTGATCCTAATTTTTGAACTTAAAAAGTTAACAAATTTTGATTCGTTATATAACAGGTCTATACGTTAGTCAACGTAATTTTAGTGAAATCAATTCCGTATTTTTGTAATGACCCACGAATTTACATTTAGCATGGAAGTTTATTATTTGTATTAAATATGAGAATTGTAGTCGTAAATACATCCGATGATCTGCATCGTATTCAAAGATCATCTGATTTGCTTAGTACGGCAATGAGCCTAAAAGTTAAGGCCGCTTGGTGACGGCTATTAGTTAATTTACACTGTTATCACTATATGCTACATTAGTGTTCACAGTGATAACTAATAACTGTTTAGGTGAGAACTTTTTGTTTTTATCTCATCCCTATGCCACGCGTGACCGTAAGCCTAAGTGCACTGTGCCAACTTATGTTAGGAATCATCTATACATCGGTCTCTTAGTCATTTATAAGATGCACTGAAAAACTTGCATTTCATTTACATCTGTCCATTTTTATTTAACACTGGTTTTTGGGTTTTCCTTTTTTTTTAAACTTAGATTTGGTTCAAAATTTTGTCCCTTTAAGCACTGTAAGTAAAATCTTATTAAAAATGCTTGTGGGCCTTTTCATGTCCGAACGACAAATGCGTATATATTTAAAGGGCGATCATTTTCTTGCAGAAGAGTCTCAATATATATAACTTCGCACGCTAAATATGTTTGACTATAAACAAAAAATATTATTCAAGCTCACGAGTTCTTGATTTTTTTCTGTAGGTTTTTTGCACGTGTATTTGGCGTAGTTTATATGTTTCTGAATTTATGTTTGTGTAATTTCAATACAATTATGTCGATCTTGTCATCTTTGCCACACAACTCATCAGATAAGGGTCTCCTGTACGGAATCCGATCTTCAAAGGAAAAAGGATCATTTGTTCTTGAGCGGAAAAAAGTCGCCAAATACTCCTTGAATACACTGACCCTTGCGGCATATGTGGTTTCGATACATCTAAAACACACAAGAGGTATATGTATTTCTTAGACATTTGAGGGCAACCAAGTGATATTTTTACTGCACTAACTTCTACTTAGGTCAATTAATATCGAACTAGCTAGCAGTCTATAACTAGATTATTATTACGAATCTATATTTTGTTTTCTAGAATTAATCTATATATTTTATGTAAAAAATTCGCCGTAACGATTACTGGTGATGTGGCCATAGTTTTTCTTATGTTTTTATCAATTGCAAGTTCAAAGCATCTACTTAAAATTAGAAAAAAAACCCTGCAGCTGCGAAGCAAAGAATGTGCAGAACATACATACGTTATTTAAAGCTGGAAAAAAGGTTTTAGTATATAGAACACATGCGTTTAATGTGTATATTCCTTTGATAACAAATTTTTTTCAATAGGGCAATTTTAGTCAACAGCTGGTGGCCTGCCATCGAACTAACTGCTAATAGTAGCGAATTGTTACCAAGAATATTGTTCACACCATAACATTTTCAAACCAGTAATACACGGTTAACAGAATGCCCATTTTGCATTATATACACTCGATGAGCAGTTTAGCGTGAAACCTATTCGATGAGGTTGGCCTTTCATAAGCCCTTTCTCTATTCTACGTATATTTCAGTGCATACTAAAGTGTCACTGCGTCAAGTCAAACCAATACATGCTTCATCTCAATATTTGCGCGCATGATGATATGATTGCATCCTGATTTGATCCACTCGTGGCTTTTTGCACCATCTGCGTGCAATGTGTCCGTGCGAGCGGCAACGCATTTGTTCTGTTGCCTTAAGCGTTCATGGTCAATTGTCGGCCCGTTTATCCCAGCACAACTACCAAAAGGCGAGTGTTCGCTAAAAGTACTGATAGTACCCACTCTTACGGATCGTACCTGCCCTTTCTCCGCTCATCAGGTGATAATAAGTGAATTAGCGCATTCTGTTCTTATTTCATGTAATATAAAAGCTATTATTTGGTTGAATCTAGCTAATTGATTGCAACCCTTTAGACGTCGTTAAAATGACGGAATTTGCGTCTGGATGACGTCACTCTGGCAAGACGACCCACATTTGAAAAGTAAGTGATTGTTCAAAATGCTTCTGTTAGTGTGTGCCTTGTCATTCGACTGGGCCTTTAAGTAAGCTTTTTAATCGATAGATAAATAGTAAGAAAGTAAATTTAAATACAGCTTAGGTAAATAGGGCGATAAACAGCTGATATAAACGTACTTGTAAACGTTATATTTACTAACAAGCAGGCACTTAGAGTGATTCAAAAACAGGTTAGGTAATACATATTCATAATGATGAATCAGATCTTATATTGTGCTCAATTTTTATGAATTAACGAAGTTTCTTTCATTATTTTGATAATACAGTTAAGGATGTAACAGCTATATGTGTATGTTGATCAGCCTCGACAAAGGATTGGATCATCGTCTGACTTCGGCAATGGGATGTTAACGTTCGTCGATCAATAAAAAATTTCTGCTTTGATCAATGTAATTTTAGGCACACATTTTAGGCTAATTTGTGCCGGTTGTTGCTTGTTTGGCCTTCTTTTTCAGTCCGACGTAAATGCGTAAGAAACAATAGCCGATATGGCAGAGACTTATTTCTCAAATATTATTATTATTAAGCTAGTATCTTCATTAACTAACGTTTGATTAACGTTAGTATTTTCTTCATCAACCCAAAATTTCTTTTTTTTTAATAAGACTCGAGGCCCGTATTTTTCCTTTCTTCTAAAAGGTAGCCTATTTATATTGCAGAAAAGGGAACATCGGTACTTCCGTAATGTAGTACTCCAAATTGGCTATTTGTGCCTTGCCTGCAAATCACTTAAAGTTACTACCGTTTAGGGAAACCCGGAAGTTCTTAATGCGCTCGAGCGCACGCATATCGATTTGCAGCCACAGTGTAGTTGAACTGTAAGGATATTGTCTCACAATGTCATCTCTTTGTCCCTACATTTTGTACTGCTATGAATACTAGCAGGTTGATGGAGTCTAATTGTACATTCGTACATTCGTGTTCAGCATAAAAACAGGAAAATAATTAGCATTTGCATTGATTCTACGATTAATTATGGCCTTAACGTTTACTATGTGTCGACCATCGATCACCGGTTTGATGTCGAGCCATCCCGCTGACACATTTATTTTTGGCGCCGTTGTCGTGTCATCATCATTTTTATCCTTGTGCCGTCATCTGACATCACCAGTGCAGCTATAACTTAATTCAGTGCTATCATTGTTGTCCTACTTTTATTGGTGTAAACCAGATGCTTGCAAATGAATGCCCAAATAATAGTGATAATAAAAAATGAAAATAATTATCATCCAGATGCTCTGTCCCAAATTTGTCTATAACAGCAGCAGCGGGAACAACAGTGGCGGTAACAAGGACTGTCGATATGTACTAGACTATCTCAAATCTGTAGCGTTATACATCAAGTATTATATGGTGAAGTGTTGCTACAACCACCGAAGACTTTTCGAAAGAAAGTTAAATTTATAAAAACTCCTTCAGCCGTTGAGATATTTTCAATCAGAAGCGAAAACGTTATCAAGCTTAGCATGCTTATTAACTTCATTGCATAGATCCAAAAAACGGTTACCACCGATTTTACGCTATCGGCTGACTTCATTGATGACGAGGAATATCATGAACTCTAAATAAAGGAGAGGAATCACAGAGTAAAAGGCCAGAAGAATCATTCGTTCTTTACACAGAGATTCGAATGGAGTCTATGAAGGGAGGAAAGCATAAAGTGACGACTGATGACGTCATTACAAACTGTGACGTCAAAACTTGATAGCATCGAAGTGTTCGTAGATAATGCTGGAGCTTATAGAGTTCTAGATCATCGAGTGACCATTGATCAGCACATCATTTTTTCGATAAGTGGTTGGTGAGGGAAGGTTATAGTGTGAAATAATCTTGTTTTTCGGATAAATGCAGTAGATGCCAGGTGAGCAGATAAGGTTTGTCAAAACATTTAACTAAACACTCAATTTATACAGGACACAATCACAGATGGACAGCCAGAATTTCTTAAGATTCAACGGTGCGTAGACTGATTCATGATAATCGAGGGCTAGCACGACAAAGAAAATGAAAAACATCGTAAAAATATATATTTCTAATATAGATTGCACAAGTGGATGAAATACTTTAGTGAATACACGTGGCGAGCTTCGACTGTAATCCATTTATATATTGCATTTATATAGCATACTTCTATCATTTATCACGCTGTTCTCTAGTTATATATTATTCTTGTACTTATAAGACACTGAAATGTTTTTAAAAAGAAAATACGAATTAACTATAGTATGAGCACTTTTTTGCATAAAGGCTGTCTTTGATTAATGCAATTCGATAAATGGCTCCGCTGACGTGATTTAATGACAATGTTTAACCGCCTAAATGGTTGCGAGATACTAAGCTTTGAAAAAAGATGCAAAACCCCAATATGAAAACATTACCACTCGTCCCTGCAACTCATTGCAGGGGCGAAATTTTTAGTGCCATTTTTTTTATTTCGACAACTGAATATTTTTTTCTCTCATGTCCCTTCTTGTCAAGAGTGAGATGGGATTGCCTTTTCAGATCGAGTTTAAAAAATATCTGGCGGGTAACAAGACACTACATCAGCTTATTGTTTATAAAATTATGTAGCTCTATGATTCTGCATCTTCCATGATGTAAATGTGTTGGATTTTTCCGAACAAGGTTGACGTAAGCAAGGTGTCTGGAAATCTTTGTCACATTTAATTAAATAAAGTCGGCTAATCTGAAATACGCTATCCCACTTAGCATGATTTGGTTATGTGGTCAAAAGAGATCAAGAGGGAAGCTTTTATCTGCTTGACGGCAGTTTGTCCACCCGAATGACTCTTTTTAAGAAATATATATATGTATGTATCTTAAAAAGCCATGCAATAATGAAATAGGGAACACAAGTATGAACGTTATTTATTCTATTAGACATACACCAATATGCCTGTGACTAGATAATTATTTTATAGAAGTAAAGAATACTCAAGGTGAACAACCTATAGAGCCTCTAGGTTAGCAAGCCTATAGAGCTCTATTATTATTATTATTATTAGTATATGCTATATAGCTTTGTGAATCTCTGAAACTTCAAAAATTACATACAAAACTAAGACTTACAAGTTCGAGGCCACATTTTGCCCCATCGGGCATAGCGGCGAGAGCTTAATGCGATACACTGCACGCAACAACTCAAGCCTGGATGAACAGCGGTTGCTTTTTCCGTCTAAAGCATTCAAAGACCAATAAATAAGAAGAAGCTGATCACTTCTTTATCGCTGGAGTAGCAAAAATGTTGTATGCGTAGGCATAAATGCAGTTCGTACATGCTTTTTTCATTTTTGATAACATGGTAAACAATAACTTAATGCTGCTTTATTTGCGATATTAAACTACAATATACCGATTGCTTTTTTTGCAGGTGACTTTTTCTTTTGTTACGCCATTCTTCGCAAATTATACGAATTTGACTAGGCCTATTTTCAAAATATAAAAAACAATAAATATTTAGCTGTCATGTAGTTTTGCAATACAATACAAGGTCTTTTCTGTTTCAAGGGTTTACGAACTTGTTACAAAATAGTCGCATAGGGCGAGCTCTTTATCTGCTAGCCTTGCTATCCGCCGTGAAAATAAACTGTTAGCACTCTCAAGAGTGACTATTTCTGGAACAATCACAGACACACCACTACGCAGATTACTTTTCTTAATTATAATTAAATTGCTGGATCTGTCCTTACATATTTCGCAAAACAAACACAGATCATAATCTTTGTTGAAAAATGCAATGCTTTCCCGCTCAATAAACTCACACCACATTTTTCATGTTACCCATTTTAGAAAACCATCCTAAATATTTTTTAGCGTCCTTATATTTTTACGATGAAAAGGACACCGTCTTTATAAGAAAGACAATTATTTACAAACAACCAGTGCATTTTGAAAGTTCAAGCAAAATTTTGAATTTCATAAGAAAAAGTTCGTAATATAAGATTGCATAGTAGTGAGATTGTCTTTGAAGAGTCACAATATATTTTCTGAACTTAAAATCTGCTTCAAGAGTGATACGTATGTTTTTGTATGCCATCACACACGGGACCCGATCATCTGAAGCTACATCTGTTGCCTGGTTTATCTCGACAAAGATTTTTAGATCGTCGAGGCATACTTTATATTTGATAGCGACATGCTCGTATAGAACTTAGAAGCCTTGACCATTCTTGCTGTATTAAAAAGTGCCTAGATAAGAGCCCTAAGGATCTCGGGTAAAATCTTTACGGTAACGAATAGTGTCCGACTTTCCCTTTGAATGATCGATCCGTTAGATAAGCGCCACACCAGTACGTAACCTGAAACTCATACCGAAAGCAAACATCTTTAAGATTAATCGTAACTGGTCATGATACACTTTGCTAAGTTATGGGAAAAATCAAAATAAACCCTATACAGTGCAAAGTGATGATTTTTAGCAAGAGCCTAATTGTGAGCAGTCTTCAACAGTTGTCTGTAGGTTGACTTATCTCTGGTCAACCCATACCGATTTGGGACTAAGGATCTAAATGAGTGTAGAGAGGTAGATAAGTAAACAACAATGACCCCTCCATTGCAATACAAGGCATAGACTCCTGAGAAATAAGAGATAATCTCAGCCGGCAGACGCTGTCGTTTTTCAAAGACCGAAATTATAATACTTTCCCCATCTTGAAAATACCTTACAAAAATGATGCATAAAAGCTCTGCAATAAGTGCAATACTTTTATAGTCCAATAAATGTGTTTAAATAAATGCATTTTTACAAATTTTTAAAAAATTTTTTAAATAAAGTTTTACCTTCAGGACCTTTACCATCCAGACCATAGCTGCTAGGCTTTTACTACTTGAAAAGAAAACTTGATTTTTCTTTTAAGTATTTAGTATATATCTTTGTTAAATTCGAATGAATAAGTCTAAACGAATAAAATTTACACCATATCCTAAGCTATTTAACTGTTTGCAGTCCTCTTTTCGTACTAGCTACGGTTGACTACGGAAAATTGAATTCAAACGTCAAGGATTGTACAAAAAGTAAAAACACTCCCTATATTAACACATTATTTACCCAATATATGGGTCGACACTTCGATAAAAAATCGTCGCACTAAAGGGTTTCTTCGATAAATATAGATATTTATAACGTTATGCCTAATAAAATTAACGTGTTCGTTATGATGACATTAGCCTTTTTTGCCAAACACGTTAGACCAAAATGCACACGCCCCCTAGTACGTTCGATAGAGCATGCGACCTAATTAACACCTTTTAATGTGCAATCGGTTCACATTCAAAAGTCGTCAATGTAAAGTGAGCTCAATGCTCTCAGTGCCTTTCGAAACTTTCGACAAGTTTAGGCACAGAATGTTATCAAGTAATGCATCAATTTCACCGAATTCACCCAGAATTTCCTGTACATCCCCATTTCTAGCTTAGTCCCACTGTAAAGTCCACGACAATCCCTCTTTCAAGTACGGTGATTACGCGATTATGTGTGCGTTTACCTGCGACGATGCAGGGCGTCGGCTTAACGTGATGTTGGGCATTTATGATCAAGGTATTATTGAGCTTCTACCGTAAACTAATCGTCCAACACAGATTATACAGCAGCAAGGTGGCAAACATTTGCTTAGGTTAACTACTTGTTTATAATTATCGATGCTTGCTTCCACGATGATGACTATTTTTCAATATTTCAATTTTGAGTCAATTCTAACTAGTTAAAACAGCAGTGTTTTGATTGGTTTACGTTTCGTATGCGTTGCGAAACATTTTAAAAAATAATTAACATATTTAATAGAAATAACTAATAAATAAGCTCATAGAATTGTTCAAATTAGACGCCGAACATTTAAACATATTTAATGTCACGATGCATCCTCTAAGTTCAAACGTCTTACAAATCCGCATTTCCCGTGAAGAAAAATAGAAAGTTAACATTTTTTTTATAAATTTTGTATAAAATTTACCTTTTTATAGATTTCCAAATAAATATATTTTTTATAAAATTTTATAAATAAAACGTACACTTTCTTCACTTCAGAGCTTGTAATATATACTGGTTAAAAATGCTCGTTGATATTTTTAAGTAACAACAATCGGTACAGTGTCTTAGTATCTATGCCATTCTTAAATACAAATTTTACCACTTACAAAGCCGTATTCCAGACAAGCGTCCTTCGGTGTGATTTGTCCATATTTTTGAAAAGTCGCTGTAGCTTCAGCGCTGTCATAACCGTCCGTTGATTCAACTTTTAGCAGAGATGTATCCACCACTTCTAAAAGAAGACATTATAAATTAACGAATATGCATCCCATGTCATGAAAGCAGTAGTTACTGTTTCATTAGCTTATAAATCGTACCCTACAATCTTGAGGGCTTTTGACTCCGCATTCTCGCTTACGACTAAACGGAACTTGCTGTAACTTTGCTCCAAACAAGCTTCTGACACGTGATACCATACGTGAAAATTGATAACATTGTTGGCGCATAAGTCATTCAATGTCCTGCACAGTTCTATTGTACTTCCGTTATCGCCCTTCATCATACGGCTGGCTCATGCCAGAGCCCGGCTTAGAATCCAAACCACAACGCGTCCCGAAGCTTACCAGGCCAATACGTTACCCACTAAGCTATCACAGGAACATGTAATTTACACCTAATGGTTAGAACTTCATGTATACATATATATATATACGCTACGGTACAATTGATTCAGAAAAACTGATTGTCTTATACGAAAAATAAATGATAGAGTCGATTTGTTCTTTTTATTCTAGAGGCTCTAGCAGACCTTAGTCGCACTTGAGGCTATGTTCGGCAAATCTTTTTTTTTTTTTTGAGATTCTGTGATCATGGTTGGAATGGACATGGTCCTTTTCTAGAGATGGCCTTAATTCTCCCGACGTTTGCTTTAAATTAGAAGGCTGAGCTCCAGAGAATGAAGATTTCAAATCAAAGTATATATATATTTTTTAATTTCGTGCTATAAAGCCGAATATAGCGTTTTCTTTAGAAAAAAATCCGAGTCAACCAACGGTCTAACATATACATAAAATCCAACAAATTAGAGACTCCTGTACCTCGAGACAGTGAAATACCGGTTTAGTAAGAACAGTATAGGCTCAATTTTTTACTCGTATCAGACGGATCTTCATTGATTGGTGCAACAGGCTTTCCACAGTTATGCCAAGGCCTATTAACGCAGAGAGTGGAACATTTGCTGCAGTATCACATCGTGCTTAGAGAACAATAATGAATTATTTAAATAAAGGCAAGATGAATAATTACCGCTGGGTCATGGAATTACAAAAGCAATGTGATTGAATCGATAAAACTTCGATCGATAAATAAAAAATCGATAAAGCAAAGTAGCGGGGTCATTCGTAGAACATAGTGGAAAACCAGAATGAAAAAACTGCAATGGAACATTAAACAGTGTGCCACAGTAACTGGGGTAGTGCAGTAAAGAAACAGAACAACTGCAAGGAATTCGGACCCAGCATGTCAGCTTTCGCTGTAAGTTGGAATGGAAGAAAAACCAGCGCAGTATTGCGTAGCATCAGATGCGCATATTCAATGCGACTCATGGAAAATAAATCACTGAATAACTTACTAAGATCCAATAACCCAGTACACAAAAAATCATTTCCCACGAAACAAGCGACCACTTGAGTAGTAGACAATAAAGTAGAGGAGTCAATATATGATTATTAAAAACGATAAAGAGCACATTATTCAGGCATTTTAAAAGCGCTTCAGTGCTCTAGCTTAAATGATATATACTAATAAATTCGCAACTAACCTCTAACAAGCAAACCAAAAATCAGGAACATGCTTTTTTATAGCAGCGTATTGCCTTAAGCGTATTGTACAAACAATACGCTACAATGCAACAGCGGATCCTTTTGTAGGTGACAACAAGGTAAGGTTTATCAGTTTGACGCTCAATTACGGAATTTGATATAGAAATCATTAGTTAAAGCTATCGGGCATTCACAAACACTGGGCTAGCCAAGAGCTACATTAGCTCATAGACACGCCATATAGCGTCATCAAGTCCAATACGTATATCCGTAAATACCTAACGTGGAGTCAAAGCAAAGCTAATAGATATAGATCTTATCTCACAGGCCAAAATTAAAAATAAATTCGAAAGTAAGTTTGTTACATAGAAGAACTTTGCATGAGATTTCATTTGGTGACTTGATTAAAGAAATCGAAGTTTTATTGAAATTAATAAACCTTTAAAAGGGAATTAGTCTTGGTAAAGTGCGACAACATGCATTTGTAAGGACAAAATAGTTGCCATCCAAAAATCACTTTATTTTTTTGCAGTCGTAATTTTGTGTCACATGTGGCAGATCAGAGCAAATATTTTGCAGCCAAAACCTCTCTGACAGTAACAATCATCCTTGCGGCGCAAATACAGGAGTTTTATAGCCGTTTATAGGGTGATTAGTTTGCTGTTTTGCAATTTGCTGTACAAATATACCAATTTTATTGAAGCTCAGCCTTTTCAACGGTAAGTGTATGGCTTTGTTACGGTCCTTTGTATGGCTTCCGCAAGGCCACTGCTATTCGAACAAGTCTTGAAAAATATGCTGTATTATATGCTTATATCATTTCGATAGAACAATACTTTAGGATGTTTTAACTTAACATTTACATGTTCTATATGTTCTATATATATAATCAACCTCGGAATTGCGTTCATTGAATTACCAACGTCGTGCAAATTTCACGTGTTACATATGCCAGATATCCAATACAGTTTTATAAGGACTGTATATAGTGAAAATAATGTGATTATAAAAAAAAGTATCAAAAAACTGTTCCTCTTCGAAATCATTTTGATCCGCACATCATACTTTTGTTGTATTTGATCTGTACATTTTACAAAACATATTTCTTTGTTTTTAGATAAATCTCGTGTTTAGCTAGCTATAATTTTGTTGGTAGTAACTTTTTCAAATACATATAAAAAAAGATAAAAATTATTTAACAAAATTTCCTAGAGTAGGATAGCGTTATTTAGAGGTTTACCAAAATAAAGAAACCCGGAAAATGACAAGCGGGTTCCATTTAGCCCCGTTACTTTAAATTGTTCCGCAACACTTACAGCGCCCTCTGTAAATAAAGCCCGTTTACTTGCGTAAGGTGCGCTTCCAAAGTTTACTTCATTTGTTCGCGTGTAAAACCAGTCAAAAATTTCTCTCTCTTTTTTGAGGTGTTTATGGTCAGCTTGAAGTGAAGTGGTCAAATAAGAGTCAACAGCATGGTATTCCTGACACGTCTATTAAGAGTAGATGTTTGCAAACAATCGTTGGTGACTCTTCGTAAGAGTACAGGCCATTCGTTCCAGCACTGTAAGCAGGTAGATACCAAAAAAAGACTCACGTATATTTTATTAGGTGTGAAAAATAGAATAATTATTCGACGAATCATTACGGCGAATAAAGCGTTCCGCGGCACATGCTGTGAATTCATGCGAAGTTGCAAAATTAATGCATTAGGAAAAAACAACTTCGTGAACGAGACCGGGTAAATTTCTTTCCGTTCTAGTTTGTGGTTACTTAAGGTTAACAAAAGTATTACCGTGGATAGATTGAAGGAGAAAAGTTATATATTCTGTATGGATTTACTTTCCCACGTTAACGTTGCATGTATCTATAGTTTTTTTAGTAAGTAATTTTTGGTACTAAATAAACGCCTGCGATTACGTCTTTGGTGGTCAAATAATTTGCTTAAAAGTATAAGTTAACAATGTATGAAAACATGAAAAACTTTCCATTTCATTTACCACCGTCTGTAAAATAATAGAGGATAATCCATGAGCATGATTTCTATCCATGTTATGCTGACGTGAATATTCTAAATTCTGATGTATACACCATGGTTGTGTAAATAAAGCTATTTGTCAAGTCAATAAGATCTAGCTGACATCAAGCTTAATATAATTGCTTATTAATGGATTAAGTATATAGCTGTTCTCTAAAGGGGACCTAAAAGAAAATGGCAAGCCATTATATGCGCAACGATATAACAATAATTGAAATTTGAATGTGGTTAGCAAGCCCCATTTTTTAGCTAATCTGACGCGGTTAATACTTCATTAGAGCAACTAATTTGAGATCAACTTATTGAGTAGTACTTTTGTGCCTACGTGATGAGCTCATATGTTTTTTTCAGGCCCTGGAACAAACCAACAATGACGTGACACAAGCTACAGCTTGGCTCCAGGCCGAAGCGTTAAAGAAGGGTTGGACTAAGCTCGAACGTTCTGAAGCGCGAGAAGCTCAACAAGGTGTCTTCGCCATGGCAGGCCTTGGAAGTAATCTTGTTGCTGTAACTGAAGTAAACTGTGAAACCGATTTTGTAGCACGAAATTCGGAATTGCGCGGTTTTGCCCACAAGATTTCCGAGACCCTTTGTCAAGGTTAATTCTAGCTTCTGGTTTCTTATCGCTTACTTAAAATATATACTTTACATCAACATTACGATTTACCTTCGATTAGTTGCAGCCTAATTCATGGTTTTGATATTTCGTTCGTAACTAAAATAGCGATCCCTCTAATTCGGTAAAATGAAAGATTTGTCATTTTGTCCTACAAGTAATGCATTGACTTTTGCAGACATTCATAGTGCGCTGAAAATTTCAGGATGTATGCCTTAATATATGCCTATTTTTTGTTTTGGTTTAAAAGGCTGTTTCGAGTGCTATCAACGACACTTCAATATTAAATAGATATAGTTATGTGTCCTGTTTTGATTTCAGAAGTCCGTAAAGGTAATTTGGCTGCAGGGACGAACCTACAGACACTGCCTTGGGAAAAACTTTCTCAACTTGTCATGGACGGCCAGAGTGTGGACGAAGGCCGGGCTAGATTGGTAGCAAAGGTTTGTTCTGGTTCCATTCGAAAAATTATCCATCGGAGGAGATAGCGGAGTAGTCGATATTCTAATTGATATTAACTTTATGCTTTTTCAATTTTTAGGATTTCTAAATTATATCCTCTATTATCAAAGACCCCTTAGTAATGGAAATATGCTTTGTGTCTTCATCATACAGAAACTTCTTGTAAGTTTTTGTATGATTAGAAAATAAAGTGCACATTTCTTTAATTGCCCCATACGCGAGGTAAATTTGGTGTTTGCGCCACGTATTGTGAACCGTCAAATTCCAAAGTACACATTCATTTAGGGATCTTTCGTCATCAGTGACATTTATTGTCATTTGTTTCTGGAAGCCAACAAATAGAATATAACGCCATTTCCGATTCGCTAAATTCGCCATCTCCTGTTTCCGTAGGTTGGAGAAAAAGTAGGCCTTCGTCAGTCGGTTATTGTTGCAGCAAAGGGGGATGAACGATTAGCGGCAACATGTCACCCAGACGGTGCTTTCGGAAAATACGGAGCAGTAATGTTGTACAAAGGTATAGTAGCTAGAAATGACTTCTGAGGATCTTTTGTATATAATATCTAGTATATATCATGGTTCGGATAGAATAATAGTGAGATTTATGTAATTGACTACTAACCGGTAGATTATTATTTACTAACCTAACTGGTTTTATGGGAAGTAGGACAAATTTTCGTCATTTATTTTTTAAGATTTTAGTTCTGATCAGTTTCAAATTAAAATTAAAAATAGTCTGTCTTTCTCTAATGATTCGTTAAAGCATTTCTTAATTCGCCAAATAGAAAGTATTAAAAAATTCGAAATCTTTTTAAGCTTCAACCGATTAGCTAAAATTCATTTTATAGTACATCAAACTCTAAAAACATATGCTGCTCTACATAAACTGGATTTATTGTTTCCGTAGTGTCTGTATAAGAGCAAAGCGTTGTGGTAATTTTCTTTTTACATTAATAAGATACGCTCGAAGATGATACAGTAGTCACATTTGGTTTAGTACAGTATACATACAGCAATACATAGTCCGGTTAAAAGAATACCTGGGTGTATACCGAGTTTTATTATAAATAAAGATGTTTCAGGGTGACCTTTTTGTATCCAAATAATTTCGTTATTTAGATTATCTCCACAAGTACCAAGAGGTCTTATGTACTACCTGAATTGCGCATTTTTAAATACCACGTAACGCGGTATAAGTACTTGGTTTACCAATATAATTTTTTCATTGTGTTCATCGCAAAAATGAGAAGTCATTGGTATTTAAAATTATATAGTGCAAAATGTATTTGCATTTGCTATTTTTGGTTTGGAATGACCATTTTAATTCTAAATGTTCATTTTCCATACTTCTTTCTTCTTTGTATACCAAGCTTAGTTATGAATATTGTGCAACACTTTTAGGTGGAGATGACGACGTTGCTGAAAAAATATGCCAACATATCATCGGTATGAAACCTATGTCAATCGGCAAACTAGAGGATCTGAATAAAGAACTATCGGAGAAAGATGCTGCACAGAAAGTGCAGGCAAAAAGCTCCGAAAATGCTGAAAACCTTAACGAAGATGCCGATGATCATACTCCACAAGCTAGACCAAGCAAAGACAACGAACATAGGTTGTTAATGCAAGACTTTGTATTTGATCCGGACACGACAGTCGGCGAACTACTCCAGGAACACGGCATGCAGATCACTAGATTCTATCGATTTGAGTGCGCTCAGGAAATGATTGAAAATAAAGATTAAATCGATAAATAGGCGAAAGAGGACATATCGAAGGGAATTAGCGTGGGCCTAGGTTTATCTTTCCTGTTCTATTTTAGCTAATGTAGCATATATGCCTGTGTCAAAATGTTGATAGTATTAATGTACTGATGGTAAATTAATAAAAAATAACCACAACAGTATAAGAGTGACACCTTTTGAGTTCATGTTATTCTTATCAATAAATATACTATAATTGAATGTGTAAACGTGCCTTTATTCTAGCATGGTTACCTATAATATGCATATGATTTGACGACTTTTATTATAATTTAGGCTTAAATATAACAAACTTTATTTGTGAAATATTCGCAACATCTCAACGAACCTACTTTTCATACTATTAAGTTCATATTTGGTTTATAATAATATATAATAATATAAATTGTAGGTCTAATTAGTACTATACAATACATAGATAAATGTTTAGGAACAGAATAATGTCTCCATATTTTAGTGTACGTACGAATTTTGCAAAGCTTCCTATGAATCCATATTGCACTCTGCTAGTTTTATGAAAAAATGATAAAAACATTCTAATTTAAGCTTGCTTGTACATTTTGTGTTACACGCATTTCAATGGATACATTTTTGGAAAATACAGTGTTAGCGATGACGAAGCACATGTATGTAAACTTTAATTAGCACACACGAATTTATATATATAAACTAGTATTATCTGGGATCAACGCGTACGTAAGTCGAACAATCTTCGCATTGAATGATCGTAGGTAACTGATTGCTCAGGTGCCTACTTAGTTCCATAATTCCTCCACATCTACACTCGAACGTATATAGGCCCTCATTTGAATCGAGCTCGTCTAAAGTCACTACCTGCCAAATAGGATGATCTAGCCGAGAAGAATTGTCCAGTTGAACGTCGTAATTTTCGCGGGATTTTGGATCGGAAAGAACCTATTAAGAAGAGAAAACAAAAATATAACATCTTATATACATAAATATGTGTATGAACGATTCATCATAGCTGTATTTAAAGAAATAATATTTTTTAACATTGATCAGTGAAGATCACGCTTTGTCCACTGAGTGTCAACCTACACATTTAAATAAGATTCATCAGTGAAAAGTTTGACGGAATAGCAAATTTACCCGTGTTGTTGAATTAGGCGAGAATACGAATTTTGGCTGGGCAAAACCAACGTAATTTTCTCGTTAGGCTCAGTCGGTGTTGCTGTCATTAACTAATCATACGAAAGCAATAGAAAGGAATGCTAGGTTTACATAGACTAATTAATAAACTAGTTTTTAAAATAAAATACATATGATACGAAATATACCTCGCGATAGTGGGATTCATAGAAACACGTTTAGTGTAAATCATAATGCAATAATATCGAAATTAAACTTCCCACGTATCCTTCACTAATTAAATAAATCAGCAGATGCACCATTTGCTATACGCGCCAATACTTCCTAAAACCCAATAGTTCCAGACGCTCAGCAAATATTGCACTGAGGTATATATCAATGAAACTCACCTTGTAAGCCCGCTCAATTGCGTGAAATTTCGCTTCGTCTCCGTTTCGGCGATCCGGGTGATACCGAAGCACTAATTTCTTGTAAGCCTGTTTAACCTCATCTAGGGAGCAAGTCCGTTTAAGACCGAGTACATTGTAGTGGTCCTGTATTTCGCTCATAGTAAAGTACCGAAAAGATATAAAACAATAAAGTAAACAATCGAATAGTAAGTTCCATGCATTTAGACTCGACACTAGAGGAACCTGATGAAGAATGTTTACACAGTATATGAACAATTATTATTTGAGTGTTTCTAGCTTTCTAAAAACATATTAAAGACAGAATTGGTAGCGTTTTTTTTGAATCGGGTTCCGTGTCACCGCAGTTGACCATGCACCGGTTGGCAAACATTCGCTCAGTGCTGTATGGGAGAGAAAAATACTCTCGTCGCCAAGAGCGGTAAATTCAAAAGGCATTTGCGTTCAAATAAATGTCGGGGCAGCCGCAACGATGATTGGCGGTTAAAATACGATCGAAGCTCTTTGAGCGCTGAAGTAGTTATGGACAGTTCCCATAATTACAGTCAGAATAAATTGACGTGGAACCCTGATGCACTTCCTATATAAAAACATGCTCGATGAACTGTTTGATATACGAATTTAATAATGACATAACGACGTGCACAACAGCTATTTTAAGCTGCAGTTTCAAATCTTGAATTAAAAGGCGGGGAAGGGGGATAACATAATTTATCTCATATCTCATATAATATCAAAATGGCTTCATCCAAATTATCTACAGAGGCACCCAATTATATGACATATCTGACATAACATATAAACCCTGAAGGGCGCAGTAAGTATATTAATTATTAGCTTGTCTTCGACAGCTGTATATAATACTAATATGGTCAATCCTCGCTATGAAACTAACAACCTGAGGTCTGCGTTTTTATAGTTTCAAGTGACATGCAAGCATTAACCTATTTGGTTAAAAGGCCAAAATATCTATTCGTTACTCTAATGCTTTACAAAATAATAATAATAGATAACGCTTTTATTGAATGCGAAGCTGCGCGGATATAAGGTCGACTTTTAGTTTTCAGCCCCGCCTAGGGATCGTTAATCTATCCTCATTTTACGTATATATTTACATTTATATACTTTTTATATATATTTTATTTATATATATTTTTAAGAGACTCATGCGATCCTGAATTGATTGTCAAAGTTCGAGACTTAAGTTAAACAAATTTGTGTACTTTGTAATTTTCATAATTTATTAAAACTTTGAACAGGTTCATGTGCAAGGCCAATAAGTGCGGTCAGGCAACCACAGAATGGGTGGACAACCCAAAATTTTACTACCAAAAATTTGATATTACATGTAGAACTATTGCCTATAGGATAAATATAGATCTCGTTTTAACTGACGGTTCTTCGCATGAGCTTAGCACAAACAGATTTAAACGCAAGATACCTCATGGATCGACTGACGAACATGTGACAATCTTTGGAATGCTAAACATTACAGGAAACAATAATAGTACTAGTATTAATCAATCACTATCCTGTTTACCTAGATTAGACTTACTTTGTGTATGATTGCTCTACAGATAGGACATCCAATCGTCCATGGATGATATGGTATATCATCATTAGAAGTTCACTTTACAGAGCTACATGCATGACTCATTATGAACACCTTTTTTATATATAGTATTTGTAGTATATATAAGGACAGACAATTAAAAACATAAGAAATGAATAAACTTTGTTCAAGTTGTTTTTGTCTTTTATCACTTTTTCAATATCCTGATAATAAATTTATTTATTTAAGAGATTATTTGTTGTCAGTGCTATAGACATGAAATAGCTTTGATGCATAGCATGGAATGAAATTAAACGCAATTTAAATATAGGAGATCCACCAATCCTGTGTCGTTAGAAAGATAACCGTTTATAAAAAAAAAAAAAAGAAAAAATCAAGTTATCAAGTTCTTTCAGCTGATTTGTTCGTCGCAAGCTATGCGCAAGAGAATATATTCAATTGGTAACGAACCAAGTATACAAATGGTACGTGCATCAAGTTTTCCTCGATCTTGGGATTTGGGTAGGGCTAGTTAGATAAATAATTATTCAATGTTTGTTTCGGTATCTGTTCTGTCGTAGCTTTTATGACTCTGATCGCGAGACTAAAAATAAAATATTATTATTTCTACTAAAACTATTATTCAATATCTGTATTTTGTAGAATAGTCTTTCGGCGATACAACGAGACCGCGACCTTTACGGGCCCCGCGAAAGATCGTTTCAATAATGTCGATCATCTCTTGCTTATCTTCAAGGGCCCAGTTGATTTTGTTGTTATTTCCGGTACCCAGATCGATCATGATGTGTTTGTTGCGAAAGAAGAACATCACGGTACACGGATCGTATAACTCGTACATTTTATTAAAGTCCGGAACTTCACTGATGTCGACAAGGTAAATAACAGCGAAATTTTTTACCTGTTAATGTAAAAATAACACACAGAATGCAACGCACATAGATACACCGAAACTCGTATTGAAATGTTTGTTCAAGCTAAACAAATTTAAACAAGTTATATTATAAACTATCCACTCACGCAACGTTAGTTATCTATTATTTCTGAAATAAACGCAGATTTTTCTAGCCTCACCGGCTTTACTAATCTATAAAGAAACAACGGTGGAAGTCAGAAGAGTTAATATTTTTGTAATTAAAAAATGAACTAATTATATCAAAACGTCTACCAATTCTTAAAATTCGTAAAATGTCTTTTGTACGCTACATTAGCCGACTGGAAAGGTTCCAGAACTTCGTAACTTCAGGTAACTACGGAAAGACGGGTCGGCTAGTTTGAAAATTATGTACTAAGACAACAGCCTTGAAGTCACTTGCTTTCTTACACCGACTCCTTCATTTATAAAAGTTTGGTCAGCTTATACGAACTTCTTACAGCGTTGGATTTTCGTCAAAATTACAAGATAAAGTACAACATACATAACATACAGCAAAAAAAAATCGTTGATTCCGTGAAAAGTGAATCATGTAATGGTTACCTACCTTTTCCGCGATGGAGTAGAGTACTTCGTCCATCTTCATACACGTCGGATCCCAATCATGTCCAAATCGAATCACGACAACTCGATCTTCTTCTGAGAGAATGGCTTGGTCGACTTGCCATCCATTGTGGAGATGCTGCATCATATACGACATATTCGCCTAGAATTTGTAGCGCTACGCCCTAAAAAAAAACAAAGGAAAATATGCCAATAAGCACGTTCGTGCTTTGAAATAATTCGAGTATCAAAGACTACCACAGCACAAGATGAGCTTCAGAGCCTGAAAAAGGGAAAAGTCTACAATCAACCAGCCGTTCTCTTAGCGAAATCGAACGTTCCTGGGCATGACGATGATTTTTGCTGATTGCTTATTGCTGCAATTTTGATCACCTGAACAGTGCCTATTCTGTATTTTAAGCAAGGCTATGACATGTTGGTTTATTTATTAACCATAATCTATTGAAATATAACAGGGCCAATTTCGGTAGTGATTTCTAATGAGTTATTTTATATTGGTCTCATTAGTAGTTTATCAGCTATTTACAAAGATCACGGCTGAATACATCTTTGCTGTTTTTCGACTATATTTCTTAAAATGTAGACCTGCATTACTATGATCATAAATTAAAGTAAGTCACAGTTGAAATTTTTCGAAAACGAAAACCATACATCGTTTGCTTCGCATAACAAAGTAAAAGAATCGGATCTAGATTATGCCACAGAGGTCGATAAATAGCCGTGTAACATGGAAATCATCGGGAGGTCACACACATAACAGATCTCAGAGCAGCGTAATTGTAGCCGTTGCTGGTAAGTGAACTAGTTATACCCTGTGCTTTTTATCTTTGTTTCTAAGTGTGTTTGTAGTCACATTGGTTAATTTTTACTGCATTGTGTATAGAATAGTTTCCAATTTTGCCCGAGCATCCACACTTTCCTCAAAACCGAACCGGCCAGATTTGGCGGAGCGCAAGAATTCGAGCCAGAATCGCGCTACTAAGGTGTTGTTACACTGATTCGTACAGGATTTCGTATAGTATAGGATGCTGCAGAGCACTGCAGCTGCTAGTGAGATGATATAAAGGAAATATACGTTACATAGAATAAAGGCAGTATTTTATTGAAATCTTCCGAACGAATGTATGACTTAAAACTGCGACGTCCCTCCATCTTGAACTCCTCTTTGCCCTTTGCGAATCACATACACACTGACCACTCGCTGCGTCTATTGTCCACCTAACTTCAGTGGTGATTGCTCTATTGCAAGAAGTTCGAGTCTACTTGTCTATCAAAGTGAAAAAAATGTATCCTTTCATTGAAAAGAATCGCGAGTTGCATATTAGCTCGCAGTATAATCGCTAAAACAGTAACATCTATGATAAATCTTAGACTTGTAAACATAATGAAAATAAAATAAAAAAGGCATTTGAGAGGATATTATTAGCGGGCACTACTTGAGTGTTAAGCAAAGACGTTTGTTCAACTAGCTGGCGTACTGGTAGCGGTGAATATCTGAAACACATTTTAGACTACATATGAATTATTGTTGCATGGAAGTTCAGCTTGGAAGCGTTTGTCTCAATAGCCGTCCGAATAATTTTTTTCATATTACTTGAAATTATCTATAAGAGGAACATTGTTAAATACTGTTTTTTAAGACTGAAAATCTTTAGTTTTATGTACATAAACATATGCACTAACTAGATGAGCGAATTAACACAAATGAGACGTGTGTGGTTTCTAAAGCAAAAAGCTTTTGGCTATCGAAATTCCACTCTTTTAATGCCTACTGTGTACCTCTCTAGCTGATTACGTCAATGACCATAAACTCGATCGATTTGATGTAACAAGGCATTTTGTATATGTCCTAAATTTTATTTTTAAATAGTTGACCAGCTTGCTGACGCGTGCGATACATTGGCTAAGGTGCGATTATAAACGAATATGCTTGAAAAACAAAAACATTTATCATATTCCTCAATAAGCTATTACATTTGTGAATTTCCGCGTGATTACTGGTCTCCAACAGCGAAGATCAACAGTGATTCCAGGTTAACTAGTAATTGACTGTTATTAAATTTTTTTTGTTTTATTATCTCGAGTTGAGTCTGTTGTAGGCTACTCTGTAGGTAATGCATTTCGTCGACTGAGTATTGTATTTACATGTCTGCTTTTCAGAATCACTACGGAGAGAGTACTCAGCCAAATGGCGTACCGTCAGGTAAGCACTGCGCTGTTACAGCGTTTCAATGAGCCTTCTGCTCGCTTCTTCCATTCGACGGCGGCAGTATGCAAGCAGGTGCCGCTATCCAACCTCGAGAGGGACAAATATCTTCCCTACGATAAGCTTAGCGCTAACATTGATATCGTCAAGAAAAGGCTTAACCGACCTTTTACGCTATCTGAAAAAGTGCTTTACTCCCATCTCGATCAACCCCAGTCAGAGGAGATCGTCCGTGGCACAAGCTATCTTAAGTAAGTACTGTCATTCGTCTTCAATGGATAAATAATAACAAAAATTAAAGAGATTAACGGTCAGTGCTTCATGTCAAATGACGATATTTATAGTGAATAAAGTTTTCACGTTTACTGTTCTTGTTGGGGCCAAGGTACACAATATCAAAGATACAATTGATCTTATAAACACCTGCATTTTGCACTCTTGAGTAACTAGACATTTGTTATGAATAAATAAGTAGCTAGGATGTGGATCTATTTGTTTACGCACACGTTTCATTGACATCTGTTAGGACATGTTAAAAAAGCTGTTTATTTATTCATGCTTTAGGCTTAGACCGGATCGAGTAGCCATGCAAGATGCTACCGCTCAAATGGCCATGCTCCAGTTCATCTCTTCGGGTTTACCTAAGGTTGCTGTTCCGTCAACAATTCACTGTGATCATTTAATTGAGGCGCAGCTTGGAGGGGATAAGGATCTATCGAGAGCTAAAGATCTAAACAAGGAGGTCTACAATTTTTTGGCGACTGCAGGCTCGAAATACGGAGTAGGTTTCTGGAAGCCAGGCTCTGGTATCATCCATCAGATCATTCTTGAGAACTACGCATTCCCCGGTCTTCTGATGATCGGAACTGACTCACATACTCCCAACGGTGGGGGTCTTGGTGGTCTCTGTGTCGGCGTGGGTGGCGCCGATGCTGTCGACGTTATGGCCGGTACGTATAACGGTGATATGATATGTGTCTCATTAATATTGGGAACAGCTTAAGCAATAGCCTAATCATTGATCTTCAAGGGCAATCAGATTCGCATTTTTCTTTGTTCTCGGATTGCTGTGATAACAAAGAGTCAAATTGCTAATGATTAATGATTCACTTTCTTGGCGAATACTGTTATGTCAGCTTTAAAAAGCATGGTACAATCAAGTAAGTGGCTGTCTGATTTTTGGTATGATAGGTTTACCGTGGGAGCTTAAGTGCCCGAAGGTGATTGGTGTTCACCTTACGGGTAAAATGTCTGGGTGGACCTCTTCCAAGGATGTAATCACGAAGTTGGCTGGTATTCTCACTGTGAAGGGCGGCACTGGTGCAATTGTTGAATATTTTGGCCCAGGTGTGCAGAGTATTTCATGCACTGGTATGGGTACGATCTGCAATATGGGCGCAGAGATTGGAGCTACAACATCAGTGTTCCCATTCAACTCACGTATGGCTGACTACCTCGCTTCCACCAACCGCCGTGCTATTGCTGATGCTGCCGAACAAGTAAAGGACAAGCTCTTGTCCGCTGATGCAGGCTGTAAGTATGATCAGGTTATCGAGATTAACCTGGACAGCCTGGAGCCTCATGTAAATGGTCCGTTCACTCCTGACGCGGCTCATCCCATCAGCAAGCTGGGCCAAACTGCCAAAGAAAAGGGCTGGCCTTTAGACGTCAAGGTTGGCCTGATCGGCTCATGCACCAATTCGTCTTACGAAGATATGTCTCGTTCGGCTATGTTGGCCAAGCAAGCTCTTGATCACGGCGTTAAGTCTAAATCCTTGTTCACTGTGACTCCCGGCTCGGAACAGATCCGAGCGACCATCGAACGTGATGGACAGGCGAAGGTGCTTAAAGAATTCGGTGGTATGGTCCTTGCCAATGCTTGTGGCCCTTGCATTGGTCAGTGGGACCGCAAAGATATTAAGAAGGGTGAGAAAAACACCATAGTCACTTCATACAACCGCAACTTCACCTCACGGAACGATGCCAACCCTCAAACGCATGCCTTTGTCACCTCGCCCGAAATGGTCACTGCTCTTGCTATAGCCGGTCGCCTCGATTTCAACCCACTTACTGACGAGCTTACAGGCTCTGACGGCAAAAAGTTTAAGCTCAAAGCTCCTGTTGTAAGTAAAATGTTCAATTAACTGATATACGTTTAACAGCTTCATTAAAATTATCTGATACTATTATCATGGCATGAGAACTCGCTACTTACCGTTGTCTGCTAGCTCAGCGGGCGAAGTAACTTCTAACCAAATATTTGATAAAAATTGGATAATGAAATTGTACCGTTTTTTAATAAATTTACATCGCTTGAGTATTTAATAAATATGACAAGAGGATGTTTAGGATATTCATTTTTAACGATGTTTTTTTCCAGGGAGATGAGCTCCCTCGCGCCGGCTTTGATCCCGGACAAGACACGTACCAGGCTCCGCCCGCTGACGGATCAAATGTCAAAGTTGACGTTGATCCCAAGTCACAGCGACTCCAACTTTTGTCACCCTTTTCGAAGTGGGATGGAAAAGATCTTATAGACATGGTTGTTCTGCTAAAGGCAAAGGGCAAATGCACTACTGATCACATCTCGGCCGCGGGACCTTGGCTCAAGTACCGTGGCCATCTGGATAATATTTCAAATAATATGTTTATTGGAGCGATTCCCGAAGAAAGCGGTGAAGCTAACAAGATCCAGAACCGCGTAAGCGGCAGTTGGGGAACTGTTCCTGAAATCGCCCGTGACTATAAGGTACGCGTAAACACTTGAAGTATTGAGTCTTTTATAGGAAAACAAAAAGCCGGCTGTTTTATAATAAAAGATGTCCTGCAGAGAGCCCATGTCAAACAAACGTATGGTGTCTTTTACAGAAAGGTAAAGGCCATAATTAAACCCCTAGAGAGCCCATGTCAAACAAACGTATGGTGCCTTTTACAGCAAGGTAAAGGCCATAATTAAACCTCTAGAGGGTAGGAAAGTAAAACGTATCCTTTTACAGCAAGGTAAAGGCCATAATTAAACCTCTAGAGGGTAGGAAAGTAAAACGTATAAAATAGACAGACAACTTATTGCCTTCAGTAGTAATAGCATACAGTTCCAATAAGTGGTGCAGTACAGTTAACCTATTTTCTAGTCGCCACCTATCCGTTCCGTTGTGCGAAATACACGCAAGAGCCCAACGATAAGTGTCCTAATACTAGGAGTCCCTGCCACTACAATTACTGATATGAAAGTGACACCTGTTCATTTATTTATGCAGGCCAAAGGACAGCCATGGGTTGTTATCGGAGATGAAAATTACGGCGAAGGCTCTTCTCGGGAACACGCGGCATTGGAGCCCCGTCATCTTGGAGGACGTGCTGTCATCGTAAAGAGCTTTGCTCGAATTCACGAAACTAATTTGAAAAAACAGGGTCTCCTGCCTCTTACATTTGCTGATCCCTCCGACTACGACAAAATTAAATCAGACGATAAAATTTCCATTGTTGGACTTAATGGTAAGTTCGTCATATATATAGGGCAATAAAACCACAACATTAACCTCCTTTTTTGATTTGAAAAGGGGTTGGGCGGCAATCTGGCACTAAAGCGAGCACTAAGGTGCTTTTGCTATGTATAGCCTATAACATGAGCTGCAGATCGCTTTGTCATTGTAACCTATCTTTCCTAAGTAAAGCGCAGAGTTAACAACACCTTATTTTAATGAAGCAAAGTAAAATTAAATCATATCAATAGGCAAATACAAAAGACTTGCCACAAGTGAAAGAAGGAAAGTACATGAAACCCGAAAGGTTCGTGTTTTTTTGTTGTACTAGATTTTCGTTCATCTTTCAAATTTAGGGCACACTTGTTTAAAGCTGTTTAAAATGAAAGAGTCTAGCGCTAACTCACCTTTTAATAATGTCTATGATATCTGAATAGGTTTCGCTCCTGGCAAGCCGTTGGAGTGCCACGTCAAGCATAAAGATGGCAAGGTTGACAAGATTATGCTGAACCACAGTTTCAATGAGGGCCAGATTGCTTGGTTCAAGGCTGGCTCAGCTCTTAATCGCATGAAGGAGCTGAGTGCTTGACTGTACAACTCGAACAAAATCAGCTTCGAGTAGGAACAAATTGAAGGCTACAACAAATTAATTCTACTAATGTAAAGTGACTAATTTATTCTATATATAACGGTGAACCATCAGTCAATGACAATGATAATTATGCTGTAACCTCAAACCACAAATTACATTACACAGCAATAGACGGTGCGCCGATTACCAACCGAATGTGTTTACTTAGAGGTACGTGCAGAATGCGAAATCGTAGTAGGTAAGTACTTTCATTTCGTAGATGAAGTTGGGCAATTATTGTATGTGGTGTATGAGGAGCTGAACTATGAACGACCAACATGTGATATGGGAACACGAGGTGACGAATAGAGAAAAATCACCTCGAATCATTTCGGCTGAGTACTAGATCAGCATATGTTTTACACATCTTATACAGAGAAAGCGGAAAAAAGGCACGAAAGGGAAATAGTGTGAAATAATGCTGGGTGTATACGACTACTTTCAGAGATAAATATTCGGTGAATCAATAAAGCATTGAGCCAAAACATCAATTTTGTCTAGTCCATGTCTGACTGCCCATCTGTGTAAACTCAAGAAAGATGCCATATATATTTTTTTCTACTATATATTTAGTAAATATTTGATTGGCTAGAAAAATTTTACGTCAAAGTGTATTTCTATTTGTATATATATCGGCTTTCGATAACCTCACGAATCAGTTCTCTGCTTTTTGGTCAAAGATTTCCATAAGTTTTAGATTTGGTCATCTGACTTGGTATGTTAATTGATCAATATAAATGATTTTGTCACACGAACTATATTATCCAATCGATTAGGCACCGAGCCAAACCTTATTATTTTTTCCGACCTGATATACGTTATTACAAGAACGTCATTTCGATAAGACCCAAAAAAAGCAAAATGACACAAAATGTAGGCCATTTCATACATTGAAACAAAGAGATCAGGTTTTGGTAACACAGTCTGTTACCTGTTAAGTTAATCTAGAATTTTGATTTTAATAACACTATTTGGATGTATTTTTCAAGTTTCCATTATAAACTTAAAATGAAGATTCGAAAAATACATTGAAATCAAAATATCTTCTAAAATTAATTTTGCAAGTGCAGGTTGTTTCTTGCAAATAATCATTTATTATGATACGGCTTGGCAGTTGTTGGCAAACTGTTGGCAAAAAAACAAAAATGCTTTATAGCAAACTCTACGACAAAAGATTTTGTTTCATTTTTCTTATAACTGATTAAATTTACTAAAATTCCTATGAGCATAAGCATATCGCACTAAAATTGAATGGACTCACGGTCAAGTGAAAATACAAGTTGTTAGCAAGTATCTGCCGCATCTGCTGGCGATGCTTTAGCTAACCATTGCTTTAAGTAGCATCTTCGGTACCGACTTAATTCTCTCTATTATTAAATTGGGGATCGAAACCCATCTCATTGGCTTGAAAACGTTCACTCATGTTTTACAGAATACAAAGTATTTTAACCAAAAGTAGATTTTAGGACAAATAAAACAAGTAAACATTTTTACTGCCGCTAACGGTTCGGGTTTGGTCAAAAGAAGCGAATACGTCTCTAGCGAAATTGCCTTTGTAAATACATTTCGAGATGGTTATGATCAAATGGAGAATAAAGTTGTTAGAAAACTAGAATAACCCTTAGCCAATTATATATTCAGCTGGTACATCAACTGCTGTCGGTGCCTCGCAATCTGCTTTAGAGGTGGCGTTTGACTTTTCCTTCGTGCCTTTATTTTACTTGCTATTTCAACATTATATGTTGTTTTCCACTTTACAGACAACTTATATAATGCGTTTTTACAACTATAGCCAGAGTGAATTTCTCACTCCTTTGACTTTTAGGCTAATTTAACATATGGGCTACATTATCATTTGCATTGTCGAATAGAGTGGTTCTAGAATCAGTTTCTTCTTGGTTGGAGATAATAGTCTTGACAAGTGCAATTAGTTTCAACAAGATAAACGTAACATAATGTAAAGCTCTTGACGAAAACAATAGGTATTGATAATGATGTCAACCGTAGTCATACAATGAAGCAAAAATATTAAAATTTATACCTTTCGGTGCATGACACTAATTTTTTAGTAAAAGACGCGTCGATATTGCTCCATTTGCCATGTTGTTAACTAAGTTATGCCATGCCTGGTCTTAGGCCTAACCTGATAAAAATTCGGGTATGTCGTTATAATGTTCCACTCCTGATTCGTAACTAGTAAATTAGAGAGGTACTAACCGAGGGTGAGTAACCACTTGTCCATCTTGTTTGTCCTAGTTTTATAAGGTTAAATAGAGGAACGTAAATCGTGAAATGAATATTTAAAAACAAAGTTGAACACTCAGTGAAATAGCTATTCTTGTTTTGGTCTGTATGTCTGCACATAAGTATCAATATTAAAGAGTCTAAAAATAGTTCTATATCCTTTATTTACCCGTGGAGGGCTAAGTCAATGAGCTTTCTCTCTTAATAGGTCTACAACTCCCACAACAAAATAAAGATATTTGTTCTGTTTGAAGGCTCATTTGCGAGTCTAATGGTACCTGCAACCCTTAATAGGGACCCTCATTTGTATTGACAAAAATAAAAAAGCTTTTATCGCTTTAAAATTAGTTCTTTTCGACTTTTAAAGCAAAAAACTTATCTTCCTCAAAGTATCTATTACAGTAGATGGAACTTTTTCTGATGGGGACCTTGAGAAATTGTTCCTTCTCGACGTAGATTACTGCCAGCAGAATCATTTGTTTTGTTTTTAAAAATTCAAAGCATTATTGATACTCCGTGGTATGGTAGAGGCAGAATTAGCTTCCATTTTAGCTAACGCTTTGAATGGTTAACGTCTAAAGAGTAGCTTTCAGTGGCTGTTTCATTACGCGGAAGTCTATGGAAGACCGAAAAGACACTCGCAGTCGAGATTTCCCTGTCGATATTTACTAAATTGTCTGTGTCGGTACTGTGAAGTGCTTTAAATGTCGTGCCGTCAAGCATTGTATCATGCTGCTGGATTGTCAGCACTTGAATCATTTTTTAGCTGGGCTTTGAACTTAAACAGTTTCGTGTATCCCTATGGTCAGCAAGCAGATAGCCTCACTGAATCCGTATCGTTACTACAAGAAGTACTTTACGTCACGACTCGTGTAGAGCGGGACGTTTTGCTCCGTGATCATACAAAACCATTAAAATGTCAAATATGCTTTTTGAATGTTGTGACATTCTTTCATAGCGGCTGCGTGGCTTACTTGTACATATGCTTATCAAGATTAATTGAGGGAGAGTATGATTTATCAGGCTCGTAACTGTTGAATTCGTCAGGCTTAAATGCTCATAGATTTGGTTCCCGAACAACTTAGGGCGAAGACACAGCTTACTTTCACATACAAACAATTGACTAACGGGTAAAAAAGGATGCTTATGTTTTTCCACGACTGTACGTGCTTTTAGTACTAGAGCTTGTTGTACTATTAAGAACAAACATGTGTTCAATTAAGCTCGTTAACGTACGATTGACTACTATTAAGATGTACGCCATGCTAGGCGCGTCACAATTGTATTCCGGTATTCCTCTTAGTTGATTTATTTTAAAATTTTCTAAAGTTTCATTTTTTCTTATCCGGCGTATAATCTTCTTTGAACTGATAGTTATACTGTCGGACACGTTCAGCTTTCTCCGATTCACTCAGCTGAATGCGTGACAGTTGATGATGCAGGGCCTCAATTTTCTTGTGAGTATCAGAGATTAACAGAGCCAAATCTTCTGTGGTTAGCTTTTTGGGTTCTGAAAACGACTTGCCTTCTGGCAAAATCGCATTGACTTCTTTGATAAGTTGCTTCTTGCCGTCCTCGATGGCTAAACCAAAATTCTGGGTAAGTTGGGCTTTTTCAAGAGATTTAGCAGCTATGTCCGAGGCATAATCAAGCTTTAGTTGTAATGTTATTAGAACTCGTTCGGCTTCATCAAGATACTTGTTGTTCATTGTAACAGGGTTGTGACGGCCTCTGCGGACAACATCTCGCAGTCTGCGTAGGGCTTTGTCGGCCTCGGCCCTCCTAAAATGGGCCAACTGTAATGCAGAACTTTGGCTTGCCTTGGCATCGTTAACTGCTTTTGATAGGTGATGATCGTCGCTGCAAATCGACTCTCCAAGGGCACACATTAACTTCGTAGCGTAGTCATCTAATTTCCCAGCTGCGGTTTTCAGATCACAGGTTGCTTCATAGTTAGTGCGTTCGGCAATTTCTATGGCATCGCGAAGTGCTTCTTTAAGGGCGAAGTTCTGTTCTTCTTTCAGAGAGAACTTGGTTTCGTTAACCGGATTATCGTGATCGATTGATTCAAAATCCACTACATTTGTCGAATCAGACTCTACAGTTTCCTGTAATATACGATTTAGTATCGCATAGCCAAGAGCGCTAGCAACTGCGGCTGTCACTCCAAAAATTATTTTCTTTAAAGACCCGTTTGCATTCCCATTATCATGTTTTCGATTGCTCTGGGTTCGCATGGGGACTCCTCGCCCAGGTAAAGCGTAGGACTGGACTTTCACCGACATCCAAAGGTTTCTCAAGATTGTGCGTTGCAGCATTTCGCACAATTATACACTCTGGTGGTTTTGGAGTGTTGGCATTAGCTGTTCGTTACACAATCCAAATATACCATATGTCATACGCTTCTACGGCGGCTTGCTTTCCTGCAGACGATCGGGAATTTGTAAAGTTCTAATTGGCAGTTGACATAGGTCTCGATCAGCTGTGAAATATTAGGCTAGGAACTGTTCTCATACGTGGTAGAACCCCAGTTATCAAAGACAGCTGCCCTTTGCTGCTGAAACTCGTAGGTTACCTGCTATGTTTACCCGTGCCATTTTTAACATTTAAGTCGCGCGTATATACCCAGTAGTATGGGCAAAACAGATACGACAATACCTCGTTTTCTCTATTGCCTTTTCAATGTTTTTTGCTGTTTGCCTCGACCCCCTTTCTGCTGGTCTCGTTTTTGGTCCCGGTTCCATTGAAATAGAATTGACTACACTAGCTAAATTATAATAACAACAAACATTTACAGCTAACTTGTGCAGTTAAATAAGCTTGCTCCCCCTGTGAGGTCCTTTGTTGCAGGTCAGATGAGGTTCTGATGGGTCGCATTTCGCAAAGCGCTACTTGAGTATACTTGTTGTACTTGAGCACAACAAAAGCTGTGTTGTTAAATTTGAAAAAAGTAAATTATAATTATAATTCAGGCCAAAAGCTTCTTAGCAGGAATTCCGGCAAAAAACTTCTTAGCGGACAAGTGAAGGATGTAGATCGAGCGGTTTATCGATCGCGAAATACATATTAAACATTACGTTATTATATGAATGTATGTTCAGGCCACTTTGAATGTATATGGATTACGTGCGCATGTGTGTCTTCGCGGGCTGAGTTGTGTGCTCTTTACCGTCTACTACATAGTCAAATATTTTGTTCCACGTACGCGGGATGCGCAAGTAGCACAAACAGTACGATTCTGTAATCAGTGTACATCCCGGTTGTGGTCCTGCGCTCCCTGTTGTGGAAATTGCACAGAAATTGAAAGCGAACAATGCTGTATAGGCAGACTTGTAAGTAATCGATACTGATGAGGCGTCATTATCAAAATTGACCGACACATTAGTTAGTCTGATTAGAAATTTATTAGTAGCATTATTTAATTATGTAACTTATTATTTTAATTTTGTATGTAAAAATGTTGGAACACCGCGAGAACTACTAAAAGTTTGGTGGCTTTCTATGGGATGTTCCACTTCGAACTGTGCTATTTACAGGCGTCAGTGGGTATTAAATGTTTTGATTAATGTGTACGGTTAGACAACAATACCTAGTACGCCGGTGATGTACCCCAGTAGTAGGGGGATCTTTTAAGCTTGTCTAATGAATTGGCGATTATTGTATGTTCTTGGTATTTGCGTTTATCCATAGTAAATTATTCCTATGTGCCAGCATTTCGACTACGTTGTCTACTTTAGGACTTAACATGTTGCCAGTTTGAGTGGCTACGATGTAAGTATGCGTATTTAGCAGCACACTGGCCCTAGATCTGAAGCAAATATGGGGCCATTCCTGTAATAAGGAGTCAATAATCACTGAAGAAACGCTGAAGGCAATAGACGCAAGACTGTAACTGCTTTCATTGACTGTATAACCAAATGTGAGATAAGTTTGACAAATATTATAAAATATGTGTAGTGATATGTGGCAAGAATTGCGCTCAAAATTCTGGAAGGCGAGGAATGAAAATATAGGATTTTTCCTTTCAATAATATCTGCCAAATGAATATTTGGATGCACAGATCTTTACAAGACGAAATATTTCCATTAAATCTTTGCCAATTTAGCATTGTAGACTAACTGAGCATTATTAGAAAATAACGAATGTTGAAAATTATGCATAATGATTAAAATTCGAAGATAAGGGTAATAGTAGGATCTATCGAAGATTGATAAAACGATAGACAAAAAGTTTTTTACAAGTGAAATCATTTTCGGGACAAAAATAGACGGGTTGAAAACACCGGAAGTTATTGCCTTAAACGGAAATATCAAGTCGCTGTGTGCATGGTCGCCTTTCAGCAAAGTCGACCATGAGCGATTCACTATTTGTCGGTTTACTACCATGAAGTTCCATGAAGTGCATGTTTTGAAATTGTGATGAAAAAACAACGAAAAACTGCAGAAAACCTAGTTTCTCATCAACTGTGTTTAGGGTAGAGGAAAACAAATCTCGTACACTTGAGAAATAACTTAGCAACCATAAATTTACTAAATTTAAAAAATTACACTGTTGCTATAAATGAGACATTGTTCAGTCGGTGCCACTCAGCAGAAAAAGATCAAGCGAGCGAGTAGCGTCAGGCAGAAGAACAAGCGGCTACGGTCGCAGTGCCAACTAAATACGAGCGTACGTTGAGGCTCATACTCGTAATAGATATTAGTAGTGTCTGTTTTTACAAACTGCCCAAAAAGGATGCGATTAGCACTGCTAGATATGTCTAATTTCTTAAAACCGTCAAGAATATCTTTGGTCAAACAATGCAAGACTCAGGTATACAACTATTGAAGAGGTCCCAAAACTTCAATGTGTAGATAATTAAGGGGACATATCTGATCTATGCGAAAAGATCGGTTTATTACCTAATTATTACCTAAAAAAACTACTCAAATCCTTCGGCCTGCTAAATAGCTCCGATCAATCGAAGAGAATCCGAAGCTTTTGACATGATCTCCACTGGCAGTTCTCAACTAGCAACACAACGTGAGTTACATGCATGCGTGCTTGTTTTTTTAAATAAATGAAATCGCTACTTAAAACCCAGGGCTCACTACTGCCTTAAGAAACCCAACATATTTGGTTAGCATTATTTGAGCAGTTGTCGGAGCCTATGTCCAACGTCATTGACGAGCTCGTAAATGTTACTAGGAGCATCGACGGGCACTGTGCACGAAATGAAAAATCGAAATGTGCTAATTTTGGCAACCTTCTACAGGTTAGCTCTCGGAGTTAACTATGACTTACAAAAAGGTCTATTACATCACCGTACTTCAACGAGTTAAAGTTTTCTTTCGCAATAATATGGATCCTCTTTTCGTATTGTTCAGAGAGTACCGCTGAGTAATGTTCGGCGAACGTTTGGTAAAATCATTTGAAATTATAGCATACACCTATGTATATTTCATAAAGAAACTCTGTTAGCTCTATAGTAAAGTTCTTTTTGTCTTTAAAAAAGTTAGTCCCAAATAGATATCTTGTATGTTCTACTTGGGCTCGTTCTCTGTGTCTTTTGGATCACCCAACCTATTTAGGACGAACGTGCCTTGTGTAGTAAGCAAACTGACATATCGTTAGGCGCCTGCGCCTTTTTGAAGACTCCAATAATGAGATCCTCACATTCATAGACACGCTTAAGTTCAGCAATTACATCAGTTAACAGATTCTTAGACGCAGTCTTTCATATGTATATCCTCAAATTTGAGCTTTGCACAAATAAAAAGAGTTACCAAAAATATGAACGAGAAACTTATATGAATACTTTTGAATCATTGTCCCTTTGGAGTCTTTGTCTAGTACTGTTTAGTGACTTAATTATCAGATCATGTCAGCTGAAAATGTTTTTTCATTTCACAGGCAGTTTTGATGTGCTTTATTTAAGCAGTAGATTTATTACAGTATCTTTAATAAGAATAATAGCTTTGCATACATTTATCTCATTTCGTGTACCAGCTCTAAGAACAAAGTTGGAAGATTTAAATAAAACAATTTACGACTTAAAAGCAGCAAATAATAAAACCACCATGAACAGTGAAGCCTCGTTGCCATCATCATCATAGGCTTCGCCTAACTGCTTTATGAAATCTTTTATAAAAAAGTCTCTGCTGTTTCGTAAAACGAGCGAGTTCAACTCATTCGATTCATGCAGTAACACGTGCCCCAAAAGCAAGAACCTTAAAGTCCTGTTGCTAAAGGCGTTCAGAAGAACATCGTAGACTCAGTGTTTCTTTACTGGTCATCAAATACGCTAGATAAAAAAAAACGTTTGTTAAAGTTGAAACCTCATTGTACTAGTACCGTTTAGCATGTCTACCTAAGGCGAGGGCGAAAGCAGTTCTTCCTGTTTCTTTGCGAAAATATTGCGGTTTCATTGTACGGCAAACCCATTTTAACACTTTCTCCTGCTTTGTAATGATAATGACAATGCTCGATGGTGATACAGTTCTTCTTGCGATGCTCCTATCCAATGACTCCGATGTAAAAAGATTCCCAATCTGCGCTTGTTCTACGAATCTCTGAATCCAATCCACTGACCAAACCCGCAAAGCAATAACTTCGGGTAGTGTTCGTGCTGACAAAATAAGTCAGTTTCATCATCATGAATACGTGACTGAATAATAATAATTTAAAGTTTAACGGTAAGCTTGGAAGATCTTTTTTCAGCTTTTCTTTATTCTAGATTTAAATTACGTAACGGAACGTGGTAAAGCACATTTGACTAAAAAACAAAAGAGGTTTATTTATAAGGCAACAAACGTGCTCAAATCGGTGGAAACAAAGCGTTAATGTAGCGCTACCTCTAGTCTGGTATCGTAAGGCTGTCCTAATACACATTTCCATAATTAAGACTAATATTTCGGAGTTTATATATTTGTTAGAACGGGTTCGTACGTCTCAGCTTTTAAATTCGGTTTACAATACCGTCTCCTTTCATGCTGAGTTATCACGCTTAGCTTACATGCGAAGGCCAGAGATCATAGCAATGGCATAAAGATGTCCTCCAGTCCTTGATGAACGCTAATGCGCCATATGGAATTAGGAAAATTTCAGCTTAGTAACGTACAGCCTTTCTCCCTAAACTGGTTAGGGAGTGGGAGTATGAAGAACCGTCTAACAAATTAATTGACGAAGAAGTTGCACGGAATTGTCACGCTACTTGGCTAGCTAAACGTATTGGGTAGTGCCGTCCTATTCGTAGCTCTTTATAGACAACGAAAGTTGCGTAGAGATATGAATGGGACTATACGTGAAGATGATTTTGGCGGACGAATGGTATCGAGTACAAAACATTCAGTGGCAACAGAAGGCAGGTTTTATTCGAAAGCAATGTCGAATAACCCCCATTACAAAGCTAACTGGCAACAGTTACACCAATGCTTGGTGAAATACTTGGGATCCTGGGTAGTTCTATTTAGTTTTACCATAACTTGCATAGTTTACTAGTATAGCCCATCTCCCAGGCAATCGTACATTCAAGCGGCACATGGATAAGTGGAGCAAACGCAGTAATAGTTATCATGAATCAAGAACGATATCGTTCTGAAGGTCGCTAATGCCAGTCGAGATGGTATCAGTAGTGTTAGCAGTTCTCACGGAAAATTGCTTCAATCATATGCCTACCAAGCGTTGCGTTCAATATCCTTTAGAATAAT